ATGAAATGTGCTGACGCGTTGTCTACTGGTTCACAACCTGAGAAATACCAACACAGTACAAACGCAAAAACAAACGTAAGAAATGGAACTTCCTTTCATTTTATTACACTTGCATTGAGTCTGAATTTTCAATGTGTGAACTAGTGCCACCTGTGTTTGAAACTGTGTGATCGTAGTGATGATCTGGACAGCTCTGCTGGTTTTCTAAATGTGGACGAGGTTTGATGTGATCGAATTTTGTGTGAAGTACAGTAGAATTGAGGAAATTGACACTCTTACAAACGTATTAATAACACAAACTCTTTTTCAACGTCCACATCGCTATTATTACATTTACTTTTCAAGGCAGTCGACACAAGTTCAACAGCAAGTCATTGCCATAGCTCAAGCTGATGATCCAATGAGACCAAGCACGCATTGTTAGGTTTTTAGCACCGAGACCAATACCACAGATTTTATTCTATATTCTAAATAGTACACAATTCCATATTTTACAGAATTCATTGTTTATATAAAACTTGTTTGATTATGTATTATTAAGATGAAAAATTGAACATTTGTGGAAAAGAGAAATACCTGGCAGCCGCATGGATGCACAAGATGAAGCATATTATGCATTATGCATAGTTTGCACAGCCTGTGTATAGACCGAAATTTTCTTTGAGAAAATTTCGGTCTGTACACAGGCTAAGTTTGCATCTAGCTGCATAGATTCTTATAAACCGTTCAATATTAAGTACTATTTCGACTGTTTGCATTGTCAATAGTTAATAATATGGTACATGTAAGCAAAATGTCCATGGTTGAGTGCAAACATGCTAACCAAARAGTGCTAAATAGCGCAATAAAGTGTACATTAGACAACGCATAATTTAGCACTCTTTAATCAACAGCTAACCATGTTTTCCTGAAGTATTTGTACCACATTATATGGTTTATACTTACTGTCCATGAATCCACTAAAATACTATCAAAATACTTTCAAAAGAAATATATTTTCACACATTAGACACTCTTCAAAATATACATTCAATAACATAAGCACTAATAACTAAAATACTAATAATTAGTTCTAAGTATTGACTTTCATTTCATTCTCAGAGTTCAAACACTAAAACCGTGAAAAACTAGCAATCAACTAGTGCTAATTAGTACTGAATTTGAGTGAATTCATTAAATCCATGAAACAAAAAGAAATGCAATCACAGCGTACCAAGGCGTATTAGAGTAATTATATATATTTCACATTTGTTTGGCCTCACTATGTGCAAATTCTTTTGTTTTCTATTTTCTAATCTTTACTATTTTGCGCCATTTTAGCACTATTCAGTAAGTACTTTTTCAGGATTTTAGTGTTTTCTCTCTACATGTCAATACATTATATAACACATTTACTTTAGGTTCAATATTGCTTGCCTGTTATACAAGACATATAGTATTATACGATTATTATACATAGGGTATTGTACGATTGTTATCTTAGAAAGGGTGAGGTAGGGGAGAAGTTAGGGAATAAATAACTCGTTATTATCGTCTAAATACCCGTCGGAGTAGGGGGAAAAGGGGAGCAAGGGAGAGACCCATCTTAGAGATAGGAGTAGACACCTTTTGCCGCTGAAGAACCTTCTTTGCACTGTCCACAGTYTTCATCATCAACATYGCGACAGTCATAGGACCAACACCTGACAATGGAGAAATACAGAGACAATCAATCAATCTATACCTTGTTATTAGAAAACAATGCTTTGATGTCTCTATTTAGGTTGAGAGATACTTTAGAACAGGTGTAATTTGTAAAGAGGTTGAAGGTGCGAACATGGGAACAAATTCACAAAAGCAGGGCCGTAGCCAGGGTGAATGGACAACCGAGGCAAGCGGCCGCCGATGGCGGAAGAAACTATGGGGGTCTGGGGGAATTCTCCCCCTAGAAAATTTGAAATTCAGTNAAGATTATTTAGCAAGTACAATGTAAACTCCTTTTCTACTTACAAAGATACAAATTGTGTAATGGAACATAATATAGAAAGTCATGGACTGTGCAGAAGCACTATGTCAGATATACATCAAGTTCARGCCCACACTTGCTTCAATCAACGCACAGGTCAAACCTGCTAGCAACCAAGGACTAGGATATAAAAGGTTGACAGATTAAGTCTCACCTCCAGGGACAGGAGTAATCCAACTTGCTTTCATTTTTGCTTCACTGTAATCAACATCACCAACAAGACGTGTGCCACTCTTCTTGGTTGCATCTGCAATAATAATAAGATTAATAAAGTTTTAAGCTTAACAAAGTTTTGCTAGAGAAACATAGCACCAACTTTCATAATGAAGCTACCTAGCAACATAAATGTCCTAAAATAATAAGATTTGTTGCAAACTGTTCAAAACAAATCTTGTCATTGGTTTAGAAAKKAWTMGATAAACAATAGATAAGTCTTCCAAACAATAAAACAAAATCTAACTCAACAATGGCAGTTCTGTACTAATAGAGTAATCAAAAAGCATGTTTCCAAGGGTTAATGACAGRCAAACAAGCATTATCATATTCATGACAATGACAATAATTTTATTAATGAAATATCACACACATATATTTGCCTCATGTACACTAGAACACTGATASATTGAGAGTTAATAATAATAGCCAAAACTAACCTGGTATTACATTGATACCACAGTCAATGACAACAGCTCCTGGTTTAATCCAATCACCCTAATAGAG